CGTGAACCATTTTTGAGCAGAATTGTCACCGGTGAGGAAAAATGGATTCTTTATGCGAATATTAAACGCCAAAAACAATGGCTCAGTCCTAGACAAAAACTACTTACGTCCACAGAACCTGGACTCCATCCGCAGAAAGTGATACTTTGCATTTGGTGGAACAACAAAGGAGTAATTCATTTCGAACTCCCCAATCCACAGCGAACCGTCAATGCAGAGATTTATAGTCAGGAACTGGGACATTTAATTCAAGCCCTTCATCAGAAATTCCCTTCACTCGTCGATCGGAAAAGTGTTCTTCTTCTCCACGACAATGCACGTCCACATATGGGACGTTTGATGGAACACAAGATTATGGAGTTGGGCTGGGAAGTTCTCCCCCACCCACCATATTCTCCAGATATTTTACCTTCGGGTATGCAAATAGGGAAGGTGTTAAGTAAGACATCGACATTTTTTTGCTTCAAAGCCAAGTGATTTCTTTAATCAGGGCATTAACAACCTGATTGTAAGATGGAAAAGCATCATCGATAAGAATGGATGCTATTTCATTTAATAAATGTTTTGTTTTTATATATAAGTTGTTTGGGTTTTTTCATCTTAAAAAAAGCGACATTAATTTCTTGACGACCTAATACTTATTTCTCAATTTGCACAAGTCACTGTTCGGTGAACTTCAAAGGCAAAAGTAAATTACACGGTCGATTAATTTAACGTGAAGCTAACGTTGCAACTACACGCACTCCTTATTAATGATATGCCTGTAACGTAAAAAAACAAAATATCTACAGTTTTTATCCAATCTACTTTTTTCTTAAGGAGACGCTCCATCGGCTATATTTATAGTATGTCAGAAGAAGAGTGAAGGGTAAAATGTTGTTACGGTAACTTTTTGTTCATTCCAATACTTTAGAAGTGAAATTGAAGATACTTTGGTAGGTATCGACATGATTACAAAGTCTGGCTTGTGTTCCGGGCTGAGCAATTTATACATTCTAGGCCTAGCTGAGTGAGCACAAAAGTGTTAAGTACAGAATAACTCAAAGGGTGAAGTGGCTGTCTTCTTTACAAGTGCTTGTGTTTGTAGCAAACCAGTACATCAGACATTGTGAAGACGTCATTGTCGTTTTTTTTATGCATAATCAGAATAAAGAGCTTGCGAAAGCAGGGTTATAAAAACTTTTAACCAAGATTGCTGGTTGAACCTCTAATTAAAAAAAAAATCGAACTCCCTATCTTTCTAATCAATGACACGATTTTAGTGAAGACCAACTGGCACTTTTTAAGTTGATTTCAGTATGGTAACGCTTGTTTATATTGATATTTTTATTTATCATTATCGAAATCCCCCCTAACCTTTGTTTCTTTGTTTCCTGTTAAACGCAAGATACACAGTGGACTATCTTTGCTTTGTCCAGCACGGGTATCAAAACTAGTTTTTTGGCGTTGTAAATTTTGAGGCTTACTCCTGTGCCACTGGGGGGGCTTTATTCTCAAACGTTGATTAATGTTTCATATTAACTTTATGTGGAGGCCCGGCATGGCCAGGTGGTTAGGGCGCTCGACTCGCAATCCCCGTCACACCAAACATGCTCGCCCTTTCAGCTGTGGGGGCGTTATAATGTTCCGGTCAATCCCACTATTCGTTGGTTAAAGAGTAGCCCAAGAGTTGGCGGTGGGTGGTGATGACTACCTGCCTTCCCTCTAGTCTTACACTGCTAAATTAGGGACGGCTAGCGCAGATAGCCCTCGTGTAGCTTTGCGCGAAATTCAAAAACAAACAAAAGAATTTATGTGGAATGAAAATTACATGGAAGTATTGAATGTTTTATGTCATATTAATTTAATTGCTAGAACTTAATTTTCCGTGAAAACATATGTTAATAATAACTCAAAAACTAAACATTATAGCTAACTCGGGGGTTTCTTTTTTTTTCAGAGTGTTTCTGATTTTGGTTTTTATATCGTTCACTAGCGGTGGGCTCCACGTATTGTATCATATATATACGTTATATCATAACGATGTTTAATGTAAGAATCAAAATCTAGCGTAACGACCACAAATGATATAAACTTGAGGTGGTACGTAATGTATCAGCGCTAAAATTTGACATTATTAGGAGTAGGATATTATGAGTGATGCCACCGAAAATTTATCGCTTTTGGAAAGGGTACATAACAGCCTTTCTGACGTAAGACATTCATACATTCAGATCATAAAGATGTGTTCAGATCGGGTATTTATAATTTTAAAGTTGGGGATATTCTTTGTACTAAATGGTATTGAAAGCAAAAAGAATGCGGATAAAATTGGGGCAGTAGAACCATCCACAAACAGACCTGCAACAAGTAGTATCCCAGCCGTGGTTAGCAAAGTGTGGCGTCTTGTAACAGGTGGGAATCCATGAAAACAAAGGTCAGTGGAAAAAGCCGCCCGTGTGTCCCAAGTAAGGTTACACAACAAGAAGGATCTCCCCTTGGAAAAACGACATATGTCACGTGCACACAAATTGCTTCAACGACATATCCATGAAACAGTTACATAAATCAAGTAGGTAAAGAAAGAAACGAGTATCCATGCTATTTAAAACGAATATATACAGTTCAAGGGTCAAGTCGTCTATAGATTTCTGTGCGACCGCATTATTGAAACTGACGCTGGATAACCGCCTTGTTCATGCATTAAATGATTATTGAAAACCTGCAGGTAGGAGTGATGTGCCTTGGACATGATATGTTTACGATGGAGATTTCTGCACTTGAAACTACGTTGCAAGGCTTTTGTTAAGATACACAGTCATTATAGAGCGTGGAAGGACTTGGGGACATGGACTGTAACGACATGATAATGTTCCAAAATCGTTGGAATATAACTTATTCTACCTTTGTATTCTCTAATTTTATGTGTTGTTGTTTTTTCTGTTATAACAGTCAGTTTAAAGAACTGATCAAAGAGAGTTTGGTGTAATCACCATTTTATAATAGATAGGAGAGCTCAGCAGTAGGACTAATTGTGATATTAATGCCATTTTTGTTTGATTTTTGAATGTTTGTTAGAAATCCTCAAACCAACAAATCGATGGGCCTAGAAGCAAATAAATGGACCCACAAACAACAATGACTAGTTTAGAAAGCTATCGTTATTTCTAAGGTGGAGCTCTTTCTAAGAGAAATTACAAAACACTATTGGAAATTTTGGATCCTTGGAATATTGGATCTTACCAGCTTCTCATGAACAGTTCCTCAGTTACCTAAAATAAATAATACCTTATGATGTATATATACACCTGGAAAAAAGTTAAGCACCCCCAAATATTTTTCAGGATTGTTTATTGAAAATAAGGT